ATAAGTGGCCTCGACATTGGATTCTATGAAACGATTCATTGGATCTGACAGAAGGTCTTCTCCGTAATGTAGTTGAAATCAGCCTGCCTGTAAATATGTCTCTTTTTTAAATTTAAAGCAGATAAATCAATATAGTTTAATCCACTAGTTTAAACTAAAAGGGAGAAAGGCTTTTTAGGTATTACTAATATTATTGCGTATTCATAAGTTCAGTAACAAGGAGATATCGAATGGTAATTGAAGTATTTGTGAATCGTATTAAGCAATTCAATGCTGGCTGTTAAATGTTACTCGACTGAGTAACAGGGTCAGGGTTCATGGCATGACACCATGAACAGGAAAAAGCTCTTAAAAAACCTAACAACTGAAGACCCCTACTTTCAACTAGAATTACATGATTTAGGACCAAAATTTCCTCGGTGTTTCATTGCTTCCTGCAGTATTTGGTGTGCTGATCACAAAAATGACTTCCAATTTCATCCCAGACCTTTACTTTTCCAAATATTTACCAATTTTGGACCAAAATTTTTGCATCGAGTTTTACATAGATTCCTGCAGTTTTTGGTGTGCTGATCACGAAAATGACTTCCAATTTCATCTCAGACCTTTACTTTTCCAAATATTTACCAATTTCGGACCAAAATTTTTACATCGAGTTTTACATAGTTTCCTGCAGTTTTTGGTGTGCTGATCACGAAAATGACTTCCAATTTCATCTCAGACCTTTACTTTTCCAAATATTTACCAATTTCCGACCAAAATTTTTACATCGAGTTTTACATAGTTTCCTGCAGTTTTTGGTGTGCTGATCACGAAAATGACTTCCAATTTCATCCCAGACCTTTACTTTCCCCAAAATTTACCAATTTGTGTCCAAACTTTTAAAATTGAGTTTCACATTGACCCTGTATTGGCCTTACTTTGCATATATTCTTCACCATCTTCTACAAGAATACAGACGCATCGCTCGCCTACTACGCGCCCAAACAAAACGGCGCGTACCCCTAGTTTATTCGGTTTTTGGCGAAGGGGAAGACAACCCTATCGATTTTGTTGCGAGTTAGCGCGTCGGTGCAGGGCGTGGCGGCCGTGACGAACAACGGCGTGGCGTGGCGGGGCGTGGCGAAAGGTTCGCATCGACTCACATTCCCGGAGCAACTTTCATCATTTGTTACGGCCGTGCCCGCTGTACGGGCGGGGCGGGGCGAGGCGGGGCGGGGCGAGGGGGGGCGGGGCGGGGCGGGGCCCACCGCAGCGCACGGCTAAAGGCGGCGCGCCGCGCTCTTTCACATACTTCAGCCAGAAAATTGACCGACGTTCTCCCTCCTTCAACACTTTTTTTTCTCGCTCGCCGTAGTCTTTCTTGCTTCGACGGCGCCGCGAGCCGCCGCGGCAGGCCTAACACTCGCACATGCTCATCTCCCTCTTCGGCGAAGCGGCCAAGCCAAAGCCGAAGCCAAGCCGCTGCGGCATGGGCGCGTTTAAAATGCGAAGAGTGCTTCGCGGAAGGCAATACGCTGCACTGCGCGTCGAGGGAAGGAGTGCCGTACGGACAGCCCCTCCACACACACACACACACACACACACACAGAGAGAGAGAGCCAGCGCCCTCACCTCATGCGGCATGCTCCCTCATTCTGAATATGGGGAGGTGCGCTATCTGCCGCGCCATAAAAGGAAATTCTTCGCGGACACACAAGCAATCTGAATAATGCGGCAATTTGAAAACGCGCCTTGTCTTGGCGTCGAGTTAGACGTGTATCCGGCCGTGCGGGGCGGAGCGGGGCGGGGCGGGGCGGGGCGGGGCGTGGTGGGGAGCGCACGCATGCGGGGGCTAAATAGAATGTCGCGGGAAAGGTGTGCGTTGAGGTGAAATAAAAAAAGACACCCCGACAAACACACCACAAAAAATACAAACAAGAAGAACAGTAATTTTCCCCGTCACTGCCAAAGCAGTCCCTCCCTTCCGACACTTTCGTTAAGCGAGTATCACAATTAACTTTTCCGAATAAAAACGGCGCACTCGAATCCCGCCCGCGTGTTTTCTTTCCTCCTTTTCCTGTTTTTTTTTGTTGTTTTTTTTGTTTTTTTTTGTTATTCTTTTCCGTCCTCTCGTTTTGCTTTTTCAGCGCGGGCCGCAGACAGGGCGCCGGCCTGATTAGGCATCCCGGCCACTTTCTGTAACTCGGACAGATACATATCTGCAAATTTTAGCCACACAAGGGCAGCGGCGCGCAACCGCGCTAAACCGCAGCGCAAATATTTGGCCGGGGAGGCGCCCCGCCCCGCCCCGCCCCACCCCGCCTTGCCCCGCCCCACCCCGCCCCACCCCGCCTCACCCCGCCTTGCCCCGCCCCACCCCGCCTCGCCTCGCCATGCCCCACCCAGCCACGCCGCGCGACAAGGAAGAAGAGGAGTCAGTGGTGCGTAGAGAAAGGGATTTGGAAAAAAGGAAGCGCAAAAAAATAAGAGAATAACAGAAAGGGTGATATCCTTCTTGAGTAATGAGAGGTGAGAGTCGGAGGTGTTCTACCCAGAAGGGAGAGGGAGAGGGAGAGAGAGAGAGGGAGAGAGAGAGAGAGAGAGAGAGAGAGAGAGAGAGAGAGAGAGGGAGAGAGAGATAGAGAGAGAGAGGGGGGGGGGGAGGGAGGGAGAGGGAGAGAGAGGGGGGGGGGTCTCTTGGGGTCTTTCTCTCCCTCCTCCGGCTCATCCTCCGGGCCATCGCCCGTACCGCGGCGGACCTCGCGCAGCCTCGCCGGAGGAGAATAGGCCCCATTTAGGAGGAATCGGTCGAGGCAGACAGCGCGGCGCCCAGATATCTGTCCCGACCAAACAACAACAAAGGCAGCGGCAAGCGCGCGGCATGTCGGGCGTCTGGCCACTACAACGCAGTCGCTCGGTCCGGAACGCTCCGAAATGTAACCAAATCCGTGGCGACTGGCGACTCACATCTGGCTTGTATATAATTCGTCGGGTTTCGCGGCGCTTAGCAATGCAGATTTCCCCGCGGGCAGCGTCGTCGTGGCGGCGAGGGGTGGGGGAAGGGGGTGGGTCCGTGGGCGCCGTGCCCAGGGCGCTCGCGAAGGAATCTGGCGGCGCCGAGGCAGGGCGAGCAGGGCGTGCACAAGGCCATCGACCGGAGTGCATTCCGATCTATGCTAAAGAATGCGTGGCCCCTACGGCCCCGGCAGCGTCCGCGGCGACCTGCTCGAGGCCAAGGACTGCCCCGTGGACGCGGAGAGTGGCCCTTCTTGGCCGTCCGGGCCGACCTGGCAGGGATAAATCTGGCGGAGGGTTTAGCGAAACCGCTAATTCCGGCTTGGATACCAACAAAGCGGGAAAGCGCACCGTGGGCGGCGTGGGCGGGGCGTGGTAGGGCGAGGCGCTGCAGAGATGAATCGCAGCCAACTAATTAATTACTTGAAATATAATTGTGCTCGCGCGTCCGTGCCAATTACCAGCCCTCCCCCCTCGCGGATGAACGGCTGGCCGACACACGTTGAGCGGGTGGCTTCTGACGGGGATCGGCCGCCCCCAGGCCCCGCCCCCAGGCCGCCCCGGCGCCTCCTCGCCCCCGCCCCTCCTCAGTGAAAGTTTAAATTATTTGGTCGGCGTGGCATCCCACTCCACGCCACCCTCATTGGGGCAAACTTCTCATACACGCCCATCACGAGCATGTCGGACACGCCGCGGGGCGCAGGCGGGGCGCCGAGGCGAGCGGCCGGGCACGATGGCGCCCTCCTTGGCGGCGACTTTGACCCACAAGAGGCAGAGCGGCGCCGTCGGGGAGGTGCGCGCCGCCCATAACGAGGCCCCAATGCAGCCCGGCCGGATTAACGCCGCGCTGATTGTGAGTTACGGCGTGATCAAATCACGGCGGCGACGGCGTGCTGCGCAGTGCTGCGGGCCCAGCCCAGGCCCAGCAGTGACGCCCGCCAGCGGGGTGTGGACAGCCAGGACGGCCCGGACGGGTGTCGCCGTGGCCGCCTCCCCATTCATCATCATATGTCAACACGGCGCACTATGGGTGCGGGCGAGGACGACCTGGCCGTGCCGTGCCGTGCCGCTGGCTGAGGGCGCACAAGGCGGCATCTGCCGGACCGGGGCGCCGGGATAGCGGCTTGTGCGGGGCGTGCGGGGCGTGCGTCCGCGCTGCGGGCTGCGCCAACAGGCCGCCTACCCCATCCGGGGCCCACGGCACGCCGCACGGCACGCCACTGTAAGCCCCGCTCTCCGTCCGCTCCACGCCCAGCCAGCCAGCCTAGCCGGGACGGCCGGGACGGCCGGGACGCCAGAGATTGCGACAGTTTAGTGGCTCCCCAGTCAACAGCGGCAGGCCCGGCCGGCGGCCCGGCAGTCCCCACGGACACCGCCACGGTAAACTGAATCGCGCGGCAAATTTCGGCCGTGGGTTCAAATCCCGCTCGGGGAATGACAATTATTTCGGCGCAAGGCTAGAGCGGCTCGAGGACTGCGGGACTCCAGGCGGTGCGTTCCCACGCGTTCCCACGCGGCCGGCCTATTCAGCGTGGGGATCACGCTCAAATTAATGGCGGGGAAGGCCCTACACCGTGAATGGGAGACAAGCAGCCGCGCCACGCCAGGCCACGCCGCGCCACGCGAGCCTAAGCAAATTCTTCCGCGTCCCCTCTTTGTGAGAGGTGCGACCCCCACGTCCAGCCCGGCCGGCCCGGCGAGAACCCTCTCTCGCGGAACTAGCCAGAGTGTCCCTGAAAAGGGCAGCAGAAGAGGGAGAAGAAGAAGAAGGGCGAGGAGGAGGAGGAGGAGGAGAAGAAGAAGAAGAAGAAGAAGAAGAAGAAGAAGAAGAAGAAGAAGAAGAAGAAGAAGAAGAAGAAGAAGAAGAAGAAGAGGAAGAGGAAGACGGAGGAGAAGAAAGAGGGAGGAGGAGAAGAGGGAAGAGGAGAACATGGAGGAAAAGAAAGAAGAAGAAGAAGAAGAAGAAGAAGAAGAAGAAGAAGAAGAAGCAGAGCGGGGCTCACCTTGTACTTGCCGAGGCGGTCCACGGTGCAGGACAGCACGGCCTCCCTGCCCACGGGCACGGTCAGGTTCACGATGGGCCGCTCAAACTCCGGGGCGTCGGACGGCGCCCGCAGCGTCGTAGGGGTCTCGGTGGTGACGCCTGCAAACAGACATCAATCATGAGCTCCACATCACCCGGGCCATCGCGCACACACGGACGCACACTCCTGTCTCTCTCATCTCGACCGCCAAACTACTCGTCAACTTGGAACGCGCGCCTGTTCGTGCGTGCGGTACGGAATGGCCCTGCCCGGCCCAGCCCTGCCCCGCCACGCCTGTTGAGGCGGCAGGCAGGCTGGATGCTGGTCGGCCGGCTCGGGGGTTTTATGGCGGAATCATTCCACTCGGCATTACACGCACACACACACACACACGTCGGGACGAACGTGTCGGCGCACAATGCCGGGGAAAGGAACATAGATCAAGGGATAAGGCGTCGATAAATTGATCCCGACGTGCATGAAGGCCCGGCCGGGCCGCCACTCCATTGGCGCTGCAAACAATAACCCGGAGAAATCGCGGGAGGGGCGGCCGGGCCGGACGGGCGAGGGAGGAAGGGATACAGGCAAGTTTTCTTTGGAGAGCGCAGTTCGCGCGGCCTGGCCGGCCCGCCTACAGTGGCGCGGCCCCTTTGTTGCAGTCTTTACGGCCCCACAGCCCCACAGGTGCCCCACCCCGACCAACAACAACTTCCAAGTTCAAGATCACGCGGACAATGGCGGAGAGGGCGCCGTCACACAGCCTGCCAAACTGGTGGAGCGAGGGCCTGCGCGACGGCGGGGGCCTCGGCGGCCTCGGCGCGGCGGGGACACGGGTTGGCGCTCCGCTCTGCTTTGCCGGTCTTGCCGGTGCCTCATTAATCATTCGCCGAAAATTAGCCCCGCCACTCGATATCACAGCGTGGCGCCGCGTGGGCCGCGCCCCGATACGTCTGCAAATGAGACGCCCCCGCCGCCCCGACGGGGTGCTCGGGGAGGGCGCGGCGGCGAGGCGCGGCGGCAAGGCGTTCCCCAAGGCGTTCCTCCGCCGCCCTCCGCCCTGACGGGGTGCTCGGGGAGGGCGCGGCGGCGAGGCGCGGCGGCAAGGCGTTCCCCGGGGCGTTCCTCCGCCGCCCTCCGCCCTGACGGGGTGCTCGGGGAGGGCGCGGCGGCGAGGCGCGGCGGCAAGGCGTTCCCCGGGGCGTTCCTCCACCGCGTCCTGGTGCCGCGCCGCAAGAAAGAGATCTTTCGGAGATATTAGCGCGCCCCGCAGCGGTGTGATACGGAGCAACTTTCACTTGGCGGTCGCCCCGCCCCGCCCCGCCCCGCCCCGCCCCGCCCCGGCCCGCGCTGCTCCGGGCGGTCTCAAACAATTTGCGCGAAATAATAACAAGGCATTAAGCGGCGGGAGGGGGGGGGAGGGGCGGGCACCGCAAACACCCCGAGAATCATTCGGTACGACTTCCGCCCCGAGGCCGGAAGTCTCGGCGGCGTGAGCGAGCAGCGCGAGCAGCCTAGCACCAAAGTTGGCGGCATGATGAACATGTTTCCCTGACTTGATCGCGTGGGCGTACAATGCAGTGGCGTACATGGCCTTGCTGGCGGCGCGCCGTGCGCCAAGGCGGCCCTTGCTTTGTGCCATTGTAGCAGAGTCTCCCCTCCCCCTTCCAGGCCCACCTGGCGCTGCCCGGCCGGACCAGGCCGGACACGGAACACAGAGGACACGGCGGACACCGTCCGGTGGCGCCACCGTGTTCTTCGGCAATGGGCAATGGGCGCCATCTGCAGCGCTGCAGCGCCCCTGCAGTGCGGTGGCACCGAGGCAAGGCCCGCCCCGGCCCGACCAGCACTGCTCGACCAACTCGGCAGCGGCGGTGCTCACGTTTTGTGAGGACAGCGGCCGCAATCGATGAGTTCTGCTTTTGAAGTAATCAAGTTACACGCTTCCCGTTTTATTTGCAAGTCGTTCCCACCCCGGCCCGCCTGCAGCGGACGGCATGTCGCTAATGCAGCCAAGTGCATTTCATGATTCGGCGCGCGGTCGGTGCCCCTGCAGGGCCCCGCCCCGGGTCGGCCGATGCGCTCAATGTGTTTTCAAATAACGGGATTTGGCCTCCGCGACTTTCTAATGGATTAGTCCCCCCTCCCCTCGAGATAACACGCCCAGCCTGCAAATAATTAAAAAGCGGCGAATCTCGTTCGGGCCGTCCCAGTGCACCAGCAGCCCCATGGAGGCCGCGGGGGGCCGCCCCATACATTGTTGCAACCGTTACACGGACAAGAAACGCTCCACGGCACGGCAGGCGGGCAGGCAGGGGGTCCCCCAAGTATCACCACATCGTATTTTTCAGTGGCGGGTACCTCTTTTCTCCGCTCCCTTTATTTTTCATTAAACGAGCCGGCCTTTTGTGCCTGGTGCTGTTTTTATTGTTGTTTTTTTTTCAGGTGCTCATGTTATCCCAGTGGCGCGGCGCCTCGCCGTAAATCCCAGACGCGCGGCGCGTGCGCCTTCTTTGTCTCTTTGGCGCCGTCGCGGTCCGAGTCATTCCTTTGGCCGGCCTGAAAAGGCGCCCACACCGCTAAGAGAGAGAGAGAGCGTGCGATGCGCTGGGCGTGGCGGGACAGTCACCACAACAACCACTTCTCGCCAAGAAAGCGAGAGCGAGAGAGATAGACGGAGAGAGGGCCGCTTGCCACCGCTTGCCGCGGGCCGGCTGGAAACTGGAGCGAGAGCGAAAGGGGATGAGAGACCGTCATCATGTGCAGCTTTGTGGTGTGGTGAAAAAGCGCGCGTTTCCCACCAGGCGTGCTCCCCTCTCTCTCCCTCTCACTCTCTCTCGCGCGCTGTGCCCGGCGGGGACAAGAGCCCGGACACCCACCCGGAAGGCTGCTGCTTGCTCGGACCGCCCCCCACCCCTAGGCCCAGGCCATGGCCGGCCAGAACCACCACTCACTCCGGCGGTGGCGCGCCGTGGCGGTGCAGGGCCAGAGGGTGCCGGCCTGCCCCGGCCGGCCCGCCAGCCCGGAAACAATAAAGGCGGCAAGGTTTTCATCCCGTCGTCGTCCGCGCCGTGCGCGCCGCGCGCCTCTGCGGCCGCCATCAAATCATCACCGAGGACATTTAGTGCGCCGTTGTCCTCACGCACGCCCCGGCCGCGGCCGGTCGGCCGGACTGCCGCGCGGCTCGGCTCGCCGGCCACGCCCCGCCGTCGAACGGGCGACCCCCTCTCGACGTCGCGCGACGTCCTCAGCCACTCCTCGAATCACACACTCGGGTACCAGCGAATCGCCCTCGAACGAGGACTCCGCAGCACCCGCCATGGCCGAGACGTCGACAGCGCCACGACGCCTCACTTTCACTTTGCAAGACGGACGCGTCTTCTCGGCGAGGCAAGGCCGTAAAACTGCCGCCGCCACTCGCCGCCCCGGAGAGAGAGAGAGAGAGAGAGAGAGAGAGAGAGAGAGAGATGGAGAGAGAGATGGAGGGAGAGGGAGAGAGAGAGAGTCACTGCTGACTAAGTCCGCCGCGGCGCAGACACTGTGTTACATTCTCTGATTTTACGTCCGCCTGCGCCACGCCTGCGCCCCGCGCCGCCACCGCAACAAAACTGCCCCTCTCTGTGTGTTTACTGCGCCTGCAGTGGTGTGGTGCATACTGGGGGATCCCACTGGAGGAGGAGATCGCCCCGCCGCCGGTGTGTGCCCCGCCCGCCGCCCCCGCCGCCCCCCGCCGCCCCCGCCGTCCCCGCCGCCCCGCCGCCCCCGCCGTCCCCGCCGCCCCCAGCCCCCGGCTCCGCAAAGCTCCTTCCCTACACCATAACCTACATGTCCGCTACCCCCTCAGGGCTTCTCGGGGCCCCGAAGGGAGAGGGAGGGGCGCGGCGTCACGGACAACATTTTTCATTTTTATGCGCTCTTATAATGTGATCGCCACAGCTGGGCTGCTTCCTTGCACTACTTTATGTGTGTGGCCGAGGCGGTGGCGGCGGCGGTGTTCGAGATAATGCCTTCCTTTAGGTCGCCAGCGCGGCGCCGCGGTGCCGCGGCCGTGGCGAACGGCAAATAAAATTTTGACCGCCGTCATGGCGGCGCTTGCGGCGGCCAGCGGCGTTTTATCGGACACGGCCAACAAGAGCGAAAAAAGTAAATTATATAGAGGAGAGAAAAAAGGGAAATGCAAAGGGAGGGAAGGAAACAGGAAAAGATGAAAACGGTTACGGGTTCTGATGGAATTGAAATGTGTGTGTGTGTTGAAAATAGAATGAATCAAGATACGCAGTCGACCGCGTGTGTGTGCACCTGGCGCGTTTTTCCCTTTCTTTTTTTCAGGAAGATGCAAATACACTATCCCGTGGATGGGGCGCGGACTGCGAGGGAAGGGCGGTGGAGGAGCGCCGAGCCGCGCCGAGCCGCGCCGAGCAGAGTGAGAGACTCACATAAGTGTACGTGCACTTTGCGCCGGGCGGGCCGGGCCGCGCGGCAGACTGGGCCTAGGCTGGGGGTGGGGGTGGCAGACTTTGCGTACGTGCACGCAGCCATGCAGGCAGGCATCCAGGCAGGCAGCCATCCAGGCAGGCAAGCCAAATTGAGCATAACGCCGCGCGTCACACAGCAGTGGCGGTGACTGCGGCAGCGCGGCGAAGGCCAAGGCGAAGGCCTGCTCGAGGAGGGCGAAGGCGGCACTGCCAGCAGCACAGCATTGAGGCCGCCATCGCGTGCCGTGCAGCCACGTGCACAAGCAGTCGGGCACGGCGTCGTCACAAGCGGACAACGCCGCGATCCTGTTTTTTAATAATTCACGCGCCGTTCGCGCTCCGCAGACAGACCGGCGTCGTCGTCGGCGAGGTGGCGGCGACGCCCCAGCCCGCCGGCCCCTCCCCGGCCCTTCCCCGAGGCTGTCCACGTGGAAAAATTACGCTCAGTCGGCGCTTTAACAAGGAAAGTCATATTAAGGGCCCTCGGCTTGGCCCGCCCTCGGCCCCGACGGCACGGCCCGTCGCGTTCGCCATTTGCCCCGCCTCGCCCCGCCCCGCCCCGCCTCGCCCCGCCCCACCCCGCCCCGCCCCGCGAATCACTGAGAGCAAAGCGCGTTACTCCAGGGCCGCCGCGCCGCCAGGTAAAC